AAAAAAAAAAAAAAGCCAACATAATGATAGTCAAATGAGTGGAAACAGAGGAAACGAACTATCACTGAAGAGTATGGTACAGTTTTTCTGGGCTAAAACTAGGCAGAGCAGCTACAAACATGAACAGACCTTAAAAAGGCTAATTAAAGGCACCGAGATAGTTAGTTTGACTGAAACAAAGGATCTTTGCAGGCCTGGATGACTGGTTAAGGAATACAATTTAGATTTTGTAGGCAACAGTGTAGAGTTTATGTGGGTAGGAAATGGAGACTATCAAATTCACACCAACAAAAATGTAAAAGGTCTGAGCAGTTAAATGACATGATGAAATGTGGTATTTAGAGAAAATAGACAGTATTTTAGAAAATGGACAAATGAGAAAATCAGAGTTGAGCAGTAAAATGTAGTAATTCAGGGTTAAAAGGGAAACATACCAAAACATGTTAACTGCTAGCAAAAATGAAGAAGGAAGTATTAGGTGAGGGAACAAAACCAAAGACGACTGGTATAGTCTTATTTAGGACTAGGTTTATTAAAAATTGGTGTTAATGATAAGAATTGAGAAGTCAGAGAGAAAAGTGATTGCAGTTTTGGAGAACAAGAAAACAGTAGAATGAAATGAAAGATTAGTTTTGATTAACCTCAGTACTTAGGGAAACAGCAGGATTTAGAAAGAAATGTGTTCATCAATCAGCCTGCATTTCTAAGACCGTAAATATTCTGAGAACAATTAAACATTCCCAGGAAAGAAGTAATAATCATGTTGAAAACCAAACAGAGGGCCCTCCCTGGTGGTGCAATGAGTTAGAGCGTAGCACTATAAAGCTATCCATAGCCACTGCAGCATGAGTTCCGTCCCTGGCCAGGGAGGTGACCTACATGGTGTGGCAGACCTCGCCTGTCTCCCTGCTGCTCTCCTCAGCAGTGGATTTCTGTAGATCTGCCTGTTCTATTCCCCAATCTGTCTCTGTTGAGTCCCCTACCCCCCCCCCCCCCCCACACCTCTGGCCTATACCCCAGTTACTGTATGCATAAATAAAAAAATCTTAAAAAAAGAAAACTGAACAGTCTGTACAAGATAGAAGAAACAGAAGATAGTACCCAAATGAAAAACTGTGAAAGAGACAGATAGTACCCTGAAGAGTTCCAAGTACACAGTAAGAATTCAGTAAATATTTGTGAACTGAAAGAATAAACAAATACAAGAACAGTCAAATGGAAAATATGAACCAGAACAGCAATGTTAATTATAGTCAGAAAAAAAAAATCTACGCTGACAGAGTGGTAATATTATCTGCTTCAGAGAAAACAACAAAAACAAAAACTTAAAACACTAAAGATGATCTAAGCATGAAGAATTAGTAGAACTATGATCAAAACTAAACCATAGTGGAGATATTTACAATTTCCACAAATATTATGTGCCTTTAATCTGTCTGCTGCACATTTTACTGAACTCTGGGAATATAAAGTGAGCAAAACAGAAAATAAGTCCTTACTCTAGAGGATAATTTATAGAGGGGACGGGAGTAGAGCAAGAAACAGATATAGTAGATGAAGGAGCAGATATAATCTTAACATTTGGTGTCTTAACAGAGGAATGAGAGAAATGGGATTACAGTCTGAGAAACTAGAGGGTCCTACTTTTGAGGTCACCCAGAAATTGGTTAGATTGGCATACTGACCACAGAAAGAAGAGGAAGAGCAAGCCAAATGAAACATATCAAATAGGATCAACAAAAGCATTACTATACCTGGTTTGAGACGCTGGAAACTGCTGCTGCTGGAATATTGGCAATAGTAGAAGAAGTAGATATCAGGCTGGCATTTGTGCTTGAAGCTATAGAATTGAGAATGTAAGATATATTAAACATACTATGTAAAGGCTAGAAGAAATGGAATATTTATTGTATCTTAAGCAAATAGATCTGCAAGGAAATAAAGAACACTGATAAAGAAAACAAATACTGGTTTTGCTTTTTTGCATGCCATACCTTCATTTAGGCTTGATAAGAAAAACAGTTGACATATTTTTCTATTTCAACTAAAGTCCTCAACTCTTCTTACATATACAATGCACTAATGGAACAAGAAGTTAAATTAAATCAATCCATCTTTTCCAGCAACTGAAAAATGACTCACCTGCAACAGGACCTAGTGACAGATCAGTAGAAAATACAGGAGCTTTGGTAAATACTACACTGTGATATTTGTCAGTTGCCCCAAATTCCACCTTTCCTGATGAATATAATTAACTTAAACAGAGCTAGTCTTTTAAATTCTGAAGTGCCTGGCATTGTTTCTTAGGTTCTATTTAAACAATGGATTATTAATGGGGATCAACGAACACTATGATCTAGCATTCTATGCTTTTACCAATGAGCCTGCAAAAACTGAAAAAATTATTCAGTATTATTCTGTCTAAATAAGTGTACTCTATATGCATGTTACTTAGGCAGCCTGTCTGGGTTAAGTTTTAAATATCCTGCCACTACAGATTCTAATGAGGCTTTAGTCCAGATCTCAGTAGCTAGTATTTGCCACAGGTGTTACTGGAACCCAGCTGCCTCAGTGGTAGGTGGTGGCAGGGACAGTGGTGTTCTTTCACCCTGATGTACCAGCACCATCAGTTGTGGCAGTTGTTTCTCAGAGCCCTTTTATGTAAAGTGCACTTCCTGGATTGTGGAATGGACCAATCAGTTCCGATGGGCTGATCAGGCGCTATGCACTGACTGGTAAATGGTCCCAGCAGCCACAGGATTGAAAAACGGTCCAATGAGACTTGGGTGGGACATGAAAGAGGATATAAGCAGGGGTCAGAGGGAGCTGCAAGAGACGATGCGAGCCGTTGAAGGAGAGAGCTGCTGATGCCAGCCCCTGAAGAAGACAGTTCCAGCCTCCAACAGAAGAAGAAAGAAAGAAGGGGAAGCCGCAGTTCCTGGCCTCTGAAGAAAGAGTGAAAAGAAGCACCCAGCAACTAACCTCCAAGGAGGGAAAAGCCAAAGACTTCTGTCAGACCGGGCATCGGTTCTGTTTCTGACACTGCCTGAAAGTAGCTCCAAAGGCCCTGGGCCTGGTGTCTAAAAGTTGTTAACACTGGGTCTATCTGACACTGCCTCTTAAGGACCAGGAGTGACCATCACTACTGGACAGTGCTGTTCAGCACTCCTGGTGACCATTGGTGACCATCACTGATGCTACCTGGGTGAGGCAGTCAGCCACCTGTGGATTCCCTTGTTTGTAAAAATAAATCCCATGATGGTTGTTCCTGGACCATGAGGGCGCTTGCAATTGTGAGAGTGGGTAAGAACCCACAGACAGTGACGTGTCCTCTTAACGGGCACTGCCCATGGTTAGCTCTTAATTTTGGTTTCTGGCTTTTTGTTGGCTCTCTGGCCTCAGAGCCCGGGCAGGTGGGTGGCTGTTACATCCTCTCATCTGGCTCCTGCCTTGTTGCCCTTTTGCCCTGTACACCCGTTTCATAGAGACTTGGACAAGTGGACAACATAATGGTTTTGACCTCCTCTCCCTAAGCACACTTAGACATGGTTCCTACTACAGTCACACACACTAAAAGAACATCAGGTAGACCTGACTATATGACTATTTATCCCATAGTAAACAAGAGTCCTCTAGAGGGAAAGCTAATAGGAAAACCTCATTAATAACAACGCAGATGAAAAAATGCATCGCAAACTTGAGAGTGCTAGTGACAATCAGAGCTTTTTAATCCTTTCCCATGAATACTCTGCACAGAATAAAGCCTAGAGGAGAATAAGGTAAATTAGATAAAAGGAACAGCTACTGCTGCAACCCTAGCTTTCAGATAAACAACATAGGATATTTATTAGAGAAATAGTATTAGATACATTAGATAAATAACATTTTCTTTCTACTGTAACTCCTTCCCTAGGGGAACTAAATAGCTCTTCAGTGCTTACCTTCTTAACCCTAAATGAAAGAAAATAGTCTTTTTTCCCCATTAATAATCATCTTCTTCTCTGTTGTGGCTTAACTCCTTTTTCCTAAGAGGAGGTACTAAGAAATGACTATTCATACTGTAAGCAGGTTTAAATCATTCTTTTAGGCAAAGAATTCTGTACAGATTCCAAATTCTATTACTAGCACATTACACCAGATAAAACTGCAAGAAAACAATGAACACAGTTAATCTAAGGTGGTAAAGAAAATAAAGTACTTATTTAATCTCTTAAATTTATCTCTTGCAGCACGGCCCCTCTCTCTAGCTAGATTTTTCTTTGGCTCTGGTTCTGGTACATATTTTTCTTTCCCTCTTATTGAACTTTTATTTTGTCCTACTTTCTTACTCACTTATGAATGTCTGGAGGTAAAACTGTTCATATCTGATCTTTACACACATGGGGAAAAGGTAATCTGACTGATATGATAGCTTTACACATTTAACAATTTTTTAGATCACTTAATAAAATGGACAGGAGATAAAAGGGAAGAAAGACCTTATAAACAGCTAGCCATGCATGTACTCTTATTATCTTTGCCAGGAAGTTTTAGACTTCATTAGTTAGTTTTTAAATTTAGCTACTAAGCTTTCAATATAAACCATACCAATAATCACAAATGTCTCTTACAAATAGTGGTTTCTATTATAGGAGTTGATGGCCTGCTGATAGGAAAATTTAAAGGGCTCAATAAGAACTCCTGTGTTAATTATGTATTCAGCAAACCAGGGTTCTCCTATGTGCTTAGAACCAGTGGTGAACAAGAAAAAGTATCTGCCTCCATGGAGTTTTCAATTCTAATGAAAGAAGTTAGAAAATAACTAAAGAAACAATATTCATCTGGGCTCTTGTCACTATCACTGA